TATTTGATTTTTAAAAAAAGCTACTTTTATTAGCTAATATTTAATTTCTATTAGAGATTGTTAATGATTCATTAGATTAATTCTTTTTCATTGTGCTTGTCTTTCTTTTTTTACCTTATTATAACTAATTAATTTTATTAGTAAGAGTATTTTAGTAGGAATAAATCTATTGATCAAGATTAATATCTTAAATATTACTGACATCCATTGGATAATATTTTGCTTATCTCATTCTTCTTTAATTATTGCTTATTAAATACCTTTAATGTTAATATTCTTGTTCTAAAACTAATAATTGCTTAGACAAAACAATGTTGCTTAAAAATGAGATTACTTTTAATGCAAATTAACCTTTCATTGTTGATACAATACAGTAAAAGCAAAGAATTACAAACCAAATGTTAACTATAACAATCGCAGTAAAAACAAAAAGCTATATAATATCTGAAATTTCATTATTAACAAAAAATAGTGCACCAAAAAATGTAGCTATTGAAGTTGATATCTCTCTTTATTCTAAAATATTATATAATGGATTTTTGTAGGGTTATAATCTCACCTAGATTCTCAAGAATCCTGAGAGTATTATTAAATTTAATAATGCTTTGAATATGTTTGGGTAGAGGTTTAGGAATACATTGACACATATAAGTAAAGTCTTTCGTAAAATATTTAGAAATTCCCAATAAAAATATTATGGCTTAAAACCTTAATAAATCAATCGGTAACTACCAAACAATTATAATTTTTGAAGTTTATTCTTATTTTTATGTAGATAAAAGAATCCCACTATTGGTAAACCCACGATCCAAACTAAAATAGATATTAACCCTATTCCAAGACTCCAACTCATATGTTCTATTGTCCAACACCGTACCTAAAGATCTTAATGAAGCCAATATTCTCCCTTATCTAACTCTATACAAAAATATAAGCTAGTAGTCAATCTTGTTATTGTTGGATGCAAAGAATAAATAATTACGATTGTTGCTACTGTAACTTGTCTCCTAAAGCTTGCAAAGTCTGAGTTTCTGACAAATTTAATAATGAAAAAGAATATCCAAAATAGTATATTCATTATTAAGGGCAATATTACAATCA